TAAAAATTCACAATAAAAGAATTTTGAGAAGGTGACAGCAGAGGCAATAAATATAACTTATTTATTCATTAATGTCCAAGATAGAATTGAGATTTGAATCCGGATCTGCCTGAGCCCAAGGCTTTTGTGGCTAACTACTTACACTGCCTGAAGAGCGGTGAGAAGACTGGGGAAGCTGGATGGAAGAAGAAGGTTGTTACAGTACTTAGTAGAGGTTAAGAGTCCAAGTTTAAAGACCCAGGCCACGTACAGTATGATTCCATTTATATGAAATGTCCAGAAAAGGCAAATTCATACAGAAAGTAGATTAGTGGGTGCCAGGGGCTGGGGAGGGAAGAATAGGGTTAATGGTATGGGGTTTCTTTTGGAGGTGATAAAAATGTTCTCCAATTAGGTAGGGGTGATGGCTGCAAAGCATTGGGAATATACTAAAAACCACTGGATTGTGCACTTTAAAATGTTTAAAATGGTACTTTTTATTTTTTTGAGACAGTATCACTCTGTCGCCCAGGCTGGAGTGCAGTGGCACAATCTCGGCTCACTGCAACCTCCGCCTTCTGGGTTCAAGTGATTCTCGTGCCTCAGCCTCCCGAGTAGCTGGGATTACAGAGTGCGACACCATGCCCGGTTAATTATTGTATTGCTAGTAGAGATGGGGTTTCCCCATGTTGGCCAGGTTGGTCTTGAACTCCTGACCTCAAGTGAGCCGCCCGCCTCCGCCTCCCAAAATTCTGGGATTACAGGCGTGAGCCACCGCGCCCAGCCTAAGAGATTTAGAATCCTACCTGACACATAGCAAGCACTCAACCTTAGCTCTGATAATATTATTACAAAGAGATGGTAAAGCATTAAGGACTTCAGGCTTAGGCGCTTCCCTTCTCCAGGGTCCAGGTTTTTGGGGTCCGTTCTGGACCGAACGACTCAGGGAAGACACGTGAACTCATTCCCAAGCCTTCCCACTCAAGATCCTGCAAACGGAGTCATCTGAGAGCCCTCTACCCTGACGACCCGGGGCAAGGACCCTGTCGGGGCGGCCCCAGGTGGGATGGGGCCAAGACAATTCTCCCACTGCCGGAGGACGAAGACTGGCGGCCACTGGGAAGCGTAAGCGGCAGCGCGCCGCCTGGTGGCACCTTCGCGCACACGGTCCCGGAGGAGCGGGAGGCGTCAACCCCAAGCCGCCAGCTACTCCTGCCAGGAGCCCCTATAGCTGCTTTTAAATCGTTATTGTTATCAAATAGTGAGTTTTTATACAGCCAGATTATTGGCCTTATTATTCTTAATCCTGTGAAGTAGTCATTATTCCTGTTTTACAATTGAGGAAACTGATGCTTGGAAAGTTTCAGTAACTGGCTTAAGATCCCCCAGCAGGTAAGAACAGCCCCCAGGTCTAGGGCCACAGCTGTCCAGATCCAGAACTCTTTCCTACACACTCCTGTGGTTTGAGAGAAGTGAGGGTAGCCGGTGGAAGCATCTGCAGTCCCCACTAAGGGTCAGAACTGGCTCTGGGACTGATTTCAAAGCAGATCTATGCCACAAAGCCTGCTCCACTTCCAGCCTCAGAACCCCCAGACCCGGGGAAGGTGGGTCTCACATAGCAACTCTGTAGGCCCTTTGACCATCAACCCCTTTCTCCCCAGCCTTATTAATGTACCCACTCAACCAACGTTGCTTGCATCCCTGCTATGCCAGAAACTGTCTTCAGTGCTAGATATATCGTGGGGAACAGGAAACACAGGGCCCCTGACTTCAAGCAACTCACTACCTTGTCCTCACGCTTAACCCTAGCAGGACGCCTTTGCTGTGAGGCCCACGGCACTGGGTTTGGGAACACCCTAGCAAATCTTAATCCTGCTATCTTAATGTGTCATCCCATGGGCAGGGACCCTGCACATTCTTCAGCCATCCCAGGGAAAGTTATGGCTCAGGGGGAGTCTGACTCCCTCTGAAGCCCCCACCCTGGCCTCAGCTGAGAGCCTGCATTCTCGAGATGCCAGGGCTGGAGAGGAACCACATCTGCAACCGCTCAGCTGCAGGTGGCTGGAGAAGGGCCAGAGACTTGGTACAGGAGCAGGGGCACAGAGCAGTTACAGAGAGATTCCCAACATGCAAAGTCCCCTGCCCTGATGCTGGAGTCCTGGAGGGAGAGCAGGGCCCAGGACCTCCCATGAGTGTATTTCAAGAATTGAGAGAGTGGTTAGGCTGCGAAGGGAAGTGGGGCAGGGACTGGTAGGAGAGGGGGTAATGCCCTCCTTTTGCTTGCCCCCTATCCTCAGTCTCCCTTCTCTGCAGCCAGGAATTAAACAAAGACATGAAACCTGATACTTGGACTAGAAAGGCCTGCTGGGTACACTTTACCACCTAAACAGCAAAGTTCCAAGGACTGGAACTTTTTAGAAAAATCTCCAATACCCCACAGGCCTGAAGGAGAGAGAGAGAGAACATGCTGTGGTCTCTGCATGCTGCCCCTCTCTGCTGAGGTCCCTGCTGAGCTCTCCAGCATAGGCACAACCTTGACCATGTGCCCGCATCCAGGGGATGACAGATGTGGGTCTTGGTACAGGCGTGCCTGTATGTGTTTCCTGGCAGTAGTTAAGTATCTAAATATCTATTTGTCTTGGCAGTCATCTGCCTATTCATGTTTTTAGCTGTATGCGCCTGTGTGTTTGCTTTTTTAGGCATACATCTTTGGTATGTGGGTGTCTTTGGAGTGGGGTGCCTATTTGTAGGTGTGATGTTTCTGGAAGATGAAACATCGCACCTGTGTCTTTGTCGCATGTTTTCGTGTGTGTACCTTCGCAGGTGTGTATGGGTGGGTAGGTGTGTGTGTGCATGTGTATTTGCAAGGTGGAGTTGTTTGGCTGTGCTGAGCTGTTGACTGTCATCCACTGCCCTTGCCTGGGCTGTCAGAGGCCAAGCTAAGCAACCTACCTTTGCCCCACAGCAGCCTTTCTCAATTGACGGAAGTCCTTCCCCCAGGGAGTCCAGGTCCACCCGTTGCCACCCTCCTGATGCTGGGTGCCCAGTTAGGGAGATGTGCTGATGGCATGCACGACCTCCCCCAGATACTCCAGACCCGGACTTGTGAGGGGAGTGTGTGTGGAGAGGGTACTGGGTAGCCCTGCCTTCACCTCACCTTTGGGGAAACAGCTAGGACAGTCCCCTTCACACAGCCCAATCCATCCCCAGGGAAAGTGTTCGAGGGAGGCTCCCCCGTTTAAAGGGTTTCTTTCCAATCCCATCTCCCCTGTCCCCTTTGCTCAGTCACTCATTCACTCCAAGCAGTGTGATCTCTGGCAGGTGGCTTTACACCTCTGGGCAAAGTCCTCATCTGTAAAATGGGATGTAAATGGTGCTTACTTCAGAGGATTGTGAGAATTAACTGACATGATGCATACAGAGTGCTTAGCCCTGTGCCTGGCACAGGGAAGGTCTTTGCCTATGTTAGCTGATCCCCTTATTCTGACCTCTCTGGGTTTCAATCCCAAGACACTGCCCATCCTTCAAACCTCACCTGTCCCCACGTGCTCCTCGGACCACCCTTGGCTGGTTAGGACTTTCCCCCTGGAATCAGACTGGCTGGGAGGGGAGAATCTTGGAAAGAGATTATTGATATTGCACTGCAATTTCCACACAATTTTAAACATTTAATTATATACCCTCTTATGAAATAGTTATCCTTTTCCTCCATTTTACAGATGATGATGAAGGCAGCATCCGAATTGTTAAGTAACTTGTTCAAGGTCACACAGCAAGTAAGGGGCAGAGTCCAAGTTTACACTGAGGCAAAAATGGCTGTCCCACTGTCACGTAGGATGCTGGTTTACAGCAACCCAGGATCAGAGTGCTGGAGGGTTTCCAGGGGTCTGGTTAACAGTTCTGCCGAAGATCATACAGACAAGCAGAGCCAGCCAGGACAATCCTAATCTATACCCAGCTTCACATTGCTGTAAGCCCCAGCGTAACCAGGACTTGGGTGTTCTCATTTTGGGAGCTTTTTTTGGAAAGATCCCCACATGTGGAAGGCAGAGCGCATACTACAGACAGGAGAGTCAAAAGTGAGAGTCCTACATTCAATCAGAGGAGAAAGCTGACATGGCCAAGCCAAATGAAGGCTGAAAGCCAGATTTCCTTAATTTGGGCAAGCGAAAATTGGGCCGCCTCCACGTCCAGTCATTCTCCAGCGGCCGGGTTTTTCAAAGCTCTGCGCCCGCCCAGTGTCTCGAGAGGAACCTCCCC